CAACTACCACAATCACGACTCCAGAGAAGAAAGAAAAACACTTGTCGGTCTCCTTAAAATAATAATTGGTTACTAAATTACACAAACTACTGTTCTTGTTTTGACTTCTCCCATAAAACAAATTATGAAATCTTGTTGTACATGAAGGCACTTCTGTGTAGATAGGTATCTAAAACGAAAAGAGTGGAAAACTAAAATGAAGCCCCTCGGGGAACAATTGTTTAGGTAACGGTGGCCAGAATTCTATGCAGACAGACAGGAAGAAAAGGAGAAAAAAATCATGAGTCTGGAGTTATTATCGGAAGGTGATCCATTAAAGCGGGAGAGTGCAGCTTATGGTTATAATATATATATAAACACGAATACAAAAAAAGAAACTCCATGCAGGCCTGTATTTATTTATCTTCCTATTTCTTCATGACAGGAGGATATCGATAATACGATTAAGTCATGGGAAACACTATGCTTCCGGGATTTATTAATCATTTATGACGAAAAAATATGACAGTCCCATGACGTGAGGGGGAAAGTCTCTGTAAATTTCTCCCCCAAAATACTGTAGTTTGCATATAGCGACTTCTCATTGGAGAAATTTCTTTACACAAATTGTTCATGAAACGTTCTGTATATTCTTCCATGATTATGTTCTGCGGCCCATCAATACCCTTGTCTGCCTTGTATTGGTCTCATCCTAGGTATACCATCATTCTGCCGAGTTTGCATCACAAGGACACCATCCCTTATTATGGATCGCCTCCCTTCGGCACCATTTTGGAGTGGCCTCCTGGCGTGTCCTCTTTTTCTGTTTCTATCTTCATTTCTATATTTGTTTTTAATGGACTTCTTAATTCTGTGTAACTTACGTCCAAGGTAGATGATTAAGACAGTGGACGAAACGAGAAAGAACTGGAAATCCATCGGGGAACCTACGGCCATTACTACTTTCCCGTATAGAAGCATTCCCAAAAGTGGTGTGAAAAACTTTAATATGGAAGTAGCGATTCCTAATCTGTCACATGAGGATTCCTCCTTTTTAGAAGATTTATTATCGCCCTTTGTGTGAGGAAGAAGGGAGCGAAGTGGTTGCTTCTTGATTCTTTTGTCGATGTCTTCGAAAAGGTTGTCTATCAAATTGGATGACTCGCTTGTCTCGTCAAAGTCACTCCCTGTCTCTCCAGATGACTTCCTTCCCTGTGGGACCCTTGACCTTCTACGATTTCGGTAATTCTGTTGCCCTTGAGATTTTTTAGCGGATGGTCTCAAGCACATTCCTTCTTCGTCGCTATCAGTGTCGCTTGGCTGTGTGATTGTATCTTTTAAGTTTCCCTTTACACGTTTCCTTGTTGTTTTTGTAAATATCTCTTCCGATTCGTCTCTGTCGTAATAAAATTGAGCCTTCTTCTCGTGGTCGTAATAAGCAAATTTCTACCGGTTTTCATTGGCGCGTGTTCCAGAAGGGTAGTAACTCCTTCTCTGATAACAGTTGTCCTCTTCATCCGGATTGTCATCATCCTCATCGTCATCATCCTCATTGTCATCATCCTCATCGTCATCATCCTCATTGTCATCATCCTCATCGTCATCATCCTCATTGTCATCATCCTCATCGTTATCATCCTCATCGTCAAAACCTTCATGGTCACTGTTCTTCCCGGCCTGCATAGTGACATGTCTCATTTGGTAGCTCTTTTGGGACTCACATTTTTATCCGTGTAATGCTAGGTTTCAACAGGGAGTGGAGCCGCCAGAGTTATAATAGAACGTGTTGACATATTCATTTTAGTTTATTTATCTAGTTATTAAGTTATTTCAACTTACCTTATTTTTTTTTATTCTACTTTATTCTGTTTTATTCTATTTTATTTTTTTTTATTATACTTTACTCTGTTTTATTTTATTCTACTTTCTTTTACGTTATTTTTATTTCGTGTTGTGCGGGGAAAAAATATTCTTTAGGAACTGTTTCGCAAAAAAATCTGGAGCTGAATAAAGGAACACAGAGGTGGGCATAATTTTTTTGTAAATTATTTAATGAAGTTCGACTGCTCCGTTTTTTTTTTCCTTTTTTTCTCTTGGAATTTTTCTTCTACATCGATATAGATCTTTACATTCTTTCTCTTAACTTTTAATAAGAATATAGGTAAATTCCTTCCTTCATTAGTTGATATTGCAAGATATCAAACTGTAAAAAAGCGGAGAATCGGGCGGAAATCGTCTTCTCACGATAAAAGAAAAGAGACAGGCAGGTAAGAATGGAAGTAGAAATGAAAAATAAACCTGGGAAATAGAAATGGGGAATAGAAATCGAAATAGGAATAGAAATAGCAGTTGGAATGGAA